GGCACCCCAAACCACCACAGCCCCCCAGGCTCCCGTGACTGCCCCCACGCCAGCTCTATCTCCAGGAGAAGGGGGCTGGATATGCCTCCTGGGATTTCATGTCCCATCCCAACCTCTGCTCACATCTGGGTTCCCCCAAACCCACCCTCATCCTGGATCCTGGCTCTGGGTGCACCCCAAAACTGGGAGGTAGAAATGCTGCACGAGGGTCCCTGAGCACCCCCCTGCCCGAAGGGATGCCTGCCTGGATGGACACCTGCCCAGATGGACATGTGCCCCAGCCCCAGGGGTGGAGGTGGGGAACACCCAGCAGCAGCTCAGGGGTCCCAGTTCCCCCCTCCTTACCCAGCTCCCCATCGGCCACATCTGTGTCCCCCACCTCGCCGGGAGCTGCTCCTCTCCTGGTGCCTGACAAAATGGGGATGAGATGCCAGGGTGGGACCCATGTTACAGGCTGTGACACCTCCCTGCACCCACAGGTGCTCCCAGTAGGGACCCTGGCCCTGGGAGGGACACACAGAGTGCTGGGGACACCCCCACCCCTCTGTTCCTCGGCCCCCCTTCCAGCCCAGAGCTCAGCTCCAGCCAGGACCGAGGGGTTTTACCTGCAGTGTCAGTGTCCAGCCCCGTGTCCTCAGCCACCTTCAGGAAGATCTGGGGGATGGGGGGCTGGTGTTAAACATGACACCAATTCCCACAGCCCAGTGGGGGAAAGCCCTTGGTAATGGGCAGGGGGTGGGACCCGTGTGAGCCATGGGTAGCCATGGGCAGCCCCAGCCCCACTGGGTACCTCTTCCAGGGTGGTGTCGGAGATGCCGTAGCTGGAGACTCCCAGTTCCCCCAGGCGTGCATCCAGCTCGCGGAACAGCTCCCCGAAGGCCCCGTCCCGGGCCCCGCTGTAGGGCAGGACAAAGAGCACCTCGTGCCCGATGTCCTCCACCAGCCGGGAGCCGGGCACCAGCTTCTGGATCAGTGCAGACAGCTGGGCCACATCTGGGGGAACAGGGAGGGCTGGAAACCTGAGACAGGAGCCGCTGGCTGGTGCAGCTGGCCACAGCAGGCACGTGCCCACCATCCCAGCCTTAGGGTCCCTGGGAGAGCTGGAGGGGATGGGGACCCCCTTCTGCCCCACCAGTGCAGGGGGGCCAGGAGCCAGCGGCAGGGCTGTGCATTCCCAGCCCCCCCAGGGGAGCAGCTGGGGGGGGCCACGGGGGCCAGGACCCTCACCCACGGCGCTGGCCTCGCTGCCCCGCTCGCTGCCCAGGCCCGTGTCACTGCTGTGCTCCGAGTCACTGCCATCCTGCAGGAAAGAGCAGCCGGAGCCTGGCACCCCACACCAGGACCTGGCCCCCAGTGCCCCCCAGTCCCCGGATGGAGGCACTGGTTGCCCCTGGCAACAGCCCCTCGGGGCTGAGGGACCCACCTTTTTGGTGACACCGGGGACAGCACCGGTGCTGCCGCCTGCCCCGCTTCGCTCCCGCTTCACCAGGGTGAGGTGGTACCCGGTGCCCAGCCTGGCCTTGAGGAAGAGGGGGGACCCGCAGCAGCAGAGCCGGCCCTGCGAGATGATGGCCGTGCGGTCCCCGAGCAGCTCCGCCTCGTCCATGTAGTGGGTGGACAGGATGATGGTGCGGCCTGGGGGCAGGGAGGGGGCTTGATCCCGGACCCTCCTGCTGGTCCCCCCATGGTGGGTTTTTCCCACCAGCACGTCCCCCCACTCCCCCCGGGCTGGAGGGCTCAGAGGGAGAAGCTCACAGCCCAGCGCTGACCTTTGCGGTACTTGAGCAGCAGCTCCCAGATGCTGCGGCGGGAGAAGGGGTCCACGCCGGCCGTGGGCTCGTCCAGGACGACCACCCGGGAGCCGCCCACGAAGGCGATGGCCACCGAGAGCTTCCGCTGCATCCCGCCTGCAGAGGGACAGCGTTGGGGGCACCCGGGGCCGCCGACCCCCGCTCGGGCACCTGCCCTGTCCCCCGCACGCACCCGAGAGGTTCCTGGTCTGCTCCCGGCGCTTGTGGGGCAGCCCCGTGTCCTGGAGCAGCT